GTATGAAGGTGTCACGGCGCCAAGTCCTTTATCTGGTAGTTGTTGAAGCGAGTATGCGACAGCAATTGGTAGAACACGGCAGATGCGAACGATGGTATACAGCCTTGTCATTTGCTCGCTTCATACTACTGGTGGAGAACGGGTTCGGCACCAGTGTAACTCATCCGCTGACGTGCCGCTTGGCTTGACGCGCCCCTTCGTCCAGGACAACACTATATCTGGCTTTCTCCAGTGAGGCATAGAAAAACGGAAAGGCATGGAACGAGCGCTGAGAAAGGAAAACACAAAAAGAGAGCTGTTGTGTATCATGAAGACGACAATCCCAGGTACGAGGAAACTTGTTATATCACAGTTAGTGCAGGTTTAGCATAGATTCGCTACTTGTGGCGGCCTAAGGCAGGGTACTTTAGCATTTGATCAAAAGTAGCAGCAGGGATGCTATATAGTGGGAAATGGTGAAAAAGCGAAATTAAATGGCCAAAAACCTGCGAAAAAGCTTTGTTCTGCACGGCATTGGACGAGCATTTTTGGACGAGTTTCCCTGTTGGCATCGTGCCAGCAACGCTTTTTGATAGATACGGTTGCACGTATGTATCCATGTATCCATGGGGCAACGCTTCATATCAACTGTACTTCATAAATGAAGCCATAACAATGCCAGCGTCGATGAGATTGCGCTGACACCAGCGGGCGGGTGGCTAGGGGGGGGGGCGTCTGGGGCGGCATGCACCTTGGGTGGGCGCCATAGCCGTGCCCTTAGTTGGAAATAGCGCCATGCAGCGCCTGCTGAGAGGCGCCGAACTCATTCCTGCTAGGCGTTAATCCTACCGCCTTGGGGTTTATCGTGGCACTCGCCTTTAGGAGTTTATAGGTGAAGTTTGGAGAGGGAATCATTGTCAACGACGTCATAACACACGTCATTAACCTGTGGCATGACGTCAATGACGCGTCATCTATCGTTGAACTGGTAACATGCTCGGTTGTGCATCTGTGCTTCATCAGCGCCCAGAAGTGTTCTCCCTCCAGGAGATACGGCACTTTCAGCATACCCTGATGGTCACCATCATCATGGCAGCAGAAGCGGAAGCGTCGACGACTACACCAAAGGTATCAGGAGGCTTAAAAACTTTCGTCTTCAGTAGGATTCTCAATTTAAGGCTCTGCAACGTCCGACGAGTATAAACGACGTATGCACGAAACACGCGAGAAATTGCGAGAACAACGAAGAGCCGAAACCGAGGATTCGAGCAAGTAAGCTGCCAACAATCCAGCATGTATTCTTTTGAAAAAGAACGGTTGGGGGGGGGGGAGGTAGCCAAGGTTGGCCGTAGTCTCGCACTGGTAGAACGTCAACGGGTCAAACGGTGTTGGGAGTTTGAGCGCATTTGGCTTGGCCTACCAAGATGCGCTCAACCTCCCAACACCGTTTGAGCACCTAGTGGTTCTCTGCAAGGCCTGTACAGACCACTACTAGGGCTAGAGCGGGTCACTTCTCCCATTTCGCTGGTTCGTTAAGACGTCTTACCACGTGAGACCTATTAGCTTATAGGAATCAAGGAAAAATATTTAGCTATTGTGCCAATCACCCCTCCCAAGCCGAACAGTGCCATGATAGGCATTGCACTTGCTTTTGGGCAGCACCGAGAGCTAGGGAGGTGGAAAGTGATGTGGTAAACCAGACAATTTCAACTATCGGAAATAGTAGTTACATAGTAGTTCTGCGGCGCTATTTGCTACGTTTAGGAGGGGCGTGGAGCGGAGGGACACATAAAAATTTCCGCTTGAAAGTTTCTATCGGATCCGAATACGACCCCATCGACCAACTGCCACCCCACCTCTTCAAGACCAGGTGCGAGCTTCTGATGGTATTTTTCCAATGATGCTGTTTCCTGGTGGTACATATACCCTGCTGTCGAATTTTCGCTCACAAGAGTTCACAATTGTCTACAAGATAGCATCACCAGTGTCGATGCTAACCAGCAAAATGCCCCCAGTAGGCCGAACTACACTTCATTTTTCATTCCTATGCCGTCGTAGGGTCATAGGAGGACCCATGAACTTCAAATAACGTAGGATATGCTGACATTTATGGCAAGTATCTTAGGAGAGTGGTTGTGGTCCGGTAAAGGCGCTTTTCGCCTCATAATATCGGCTGATGTTCACTCGAGAGTTCAGGTTCCGAGCGGAAAGAGCAGACTGCGCATGCGCATATTCATAGTCAGGACCTTGCGCATATTCAGTTTTTTAGG